GCTGACCACGACCAGGAGGAGAAGTCCTGCAGACCTGAGACCATGCTCCCATGGATCTGAGATGGAACTCGTCTGATCCGGTGAAGATGAAGGACCTCCAAGCTGTCCTTTAGAGCTGTCTTTACAATCCAGCAGACATAAGTTTTGTTTCCCTAACAGATAAATGATGATCAGAGGAAATCTTTCTGTCTCAGGTTGCCTTCAGTGGCGGAGCAGAATCATGGCTAATGTGGTTTGGTTCTATAGATGTTCTGGCGAGCCTCTCAAGAAGCCACGCTGTTCTCCATCATTTAGGCCACGGTCAACACGTTTTCACACCTTTGAAACGTTTTTCTGTTAAACAACACAAATTTGGAGCCTCCATCAGACCCATAGAGACTTTGGTCCTTGATGCCACGTCACAGGTCCAATTCCTGGCCTGGTGACCTTCGCCCTTCTCTCCAATTCTAATTCCTGTCTGATTACTTTGAGAAGTAAAGGCCATTAGAGCCTAGAAACAATAGCAAACATTTTACCAGAGATAAGTCGACCTTGTGTGGCTCAGACAGACCCAAAGGTGGGAGGAGTACCCAGGGAGGATTCAGAGGGAAAAGTGGAAGCTGCCTGAACGTGGCTTTGTTTCAGTAAAAGACCCAATCCCAAACTCGTGCCTAAATACTAACCCTGAGCACTAACCGTCTATTTGCGTGTTCTTCCGGAGGGTCAGCCATATTAAGGGCTGTCCCCAGTACTCAAGTTGAGGGGGCATGGTAGTGATATCCATGCTAACTATATAGGGGCAGTGATAGCCATGCTAACTATGTAGGGTCAGTGCTAGCCATGTTAACTATGTAGGGGCAGTGCTAGCCATGCTAACTCTGTAGGGGCTGTGATAGCAATGCTAACTATGTAGAGGCAGTGCTAGCCATGCTAACTGTGTAGGGGCAGTGATAGCCATGCTAACTATGTAGGGGCAGTGATAGCCATGCTAACTATGTAGGGGCAGTGCTAGCCATGCTAACTATGTAGGGGCAGTGATAGCAATGCTAACTATGTAGGGGCAGTGATAGCCATGCTAACTATGTAGGGGCAGTGATAGCAATGCTAACTATGTAGGGGCAGTGATAGCCATGCTAACTATGTAGGGGGCAGTGATAGCCATGCTAATTATGTAGGGGCAGTGATAGCCATGCTAACTATGTAGGGGCAGTGATAGCCATGCTAACTATGTAGGGGCAGTGATAGCCATGCTAACTATGTAGGGGCAGTGATAGCAATGCTAACTATGTAGGGGCAGTGATAGCCATGCTAACTATGTAGGGGCAGTGATAGCAATGCTAACTATGTAGGGGCAGTGATAGCAATGATAACTATGTAGGGGCAGTGAGAGCCATGCTAACTACGTAGGGGCAGTGATAGCCATGCTAACTATGTAGGGGCAGTGATAGCAATGCTAACTATGTAGGGGCAGTGATAGCCATGCTAACTACGTAGGGGCAGTGATAGCCATGCTAACTATGTAGGGGCAGTGATAGCCATGCTAACTATGTAGGGGCAGTGATAGCCATGCTAACTATGCAGGGGCAGTGATAGCAATGCTAACTATGTAGGGGCAGTGATAGCCATGCTAACTATTTAGGGGCAGTGATAGCTATGCTAACTATTTAGGGGCAGTGATAGCTATGCTAATAAGGAAGAAGCTGTCCCATTCTCATTCATACCCCCCCTTCAATCAAGGCACCTTCCACAGCAACTTCTGAAAGTACTTTAAGTATGAAATTATTAAATATTGTTCAATAAATAAGTTTTTTTTTTTTTTTTCACTTTTACCCGACGTATTCCAACATCCAGCTGCCATGCACGTGGACATTGTCAGTTTCACTATAGCTCTGGTGAATTTCAATGGTGAAGTCCTCTGGAAATCTTCAATAATTGTTCCCATTGATTTAGCTTGTAAAGCGGGGAGAATGGCGCTAGGCTTACCGCACCGTGACGTCACTGCTGGAAGATGGCAGGAGGGAGGGGCTACTATATTTGGGCAAAAATGGCCGCTCCCAGACTCAGTGTTTGGGACGAAAATTTTTATTTTTTTTATTATTTTACTAACGCTAAATTCACCGCAAACATGTTTGTTTTAGTTATAATGATCCATTGATGATTCCTTGCTGACTGGACTTTTCCTTTAAGGCTCAGTGGTTAGGGAGTTGTTTGGGATTCAGCCAGCATAGGAAGAAAAGTGAAACAGTATTTGATGAAGATTTTCTCAAAGTAACTTTTTGGCTATGTAAATGATGTCAGCAGATAAAGCTTTGACTAAATTCTGCTATTTTAAAGATTAAAACACGCAAATGGAACATAAGCTTAGGGATGAGAAAGTTTCAATAAAAAAACGTCTAACCGATACCGCTTCCAGGGTAAAGTACCTCCAAAAATTCTTCTTGACCTCCAATTGTTGCAAGAAGCTCAGCTGGTAGAAGATGTACCCGTTCTTAGGATTAGCTCTACCGCGTGCAGCTCTGGATACCATCTATAAACTAGTGATGTTCAAAAATTCACCTCCAGAAAAGGACCTAGAGAATCTAAGGAAGCCAATCAGTGTCCGGCTGATGAGGTCTGAAGCAGCTGGTCCGTTTCTGCCAAATCAGTTTCAGTTCGCAGGGTTTGATAAAAAACACACCAAACAACCTGGGAACAAAACCATCTTTTATTTACCTGGATATTCTGTTTGTAATCAGAAAAATACAATCAGACAACTTTTTTATTTTACAATTCAAGTTTAAATAAGAGTCTTCCAAATGAAGTTCTCCAACATCCAGAACCCCGCAGCACCGCCCTCCGGCTGCTTTGGGCTGGACTTCACTGAGCTTATCGTTTCAGGAACAAAGCACTGAGCTGAATTCTAGTTTAGCTTTTCTTTCAAAATGTCCATGAACGTCTTTAAGACCAACCGAAAAAGAAAAAAAAACACCAAACCAAGAACTCCTCGGCCTCAAAGGTTCTGGATTACAAACCCAGATGTGAGGTGGGATTATGGCAGATCCAGATGTTTGGTAGTTCTGATTCTGGTTCAGAACCAGAAAAGGTTTTACATGTCTGAGGAATCAGGCTTGGTTATTTTGGGTGTTCTCAATACAAACATGGGAAAGGAGTGTTCATTTTAAGGGTTTTCAATCAGCGTAACACAATCGTACAGCTTCAAAAGCTTGAAACAGCTAAATTCCTTTATTCAAAGTGCTGCTTTCTATGTTTGGTGGATCATCTTTGTGATCCTTTAAATAAAGTGACCTTTCTAAAAACAATCAAATAAAACCTTTTAGGCAAAGCAAACCACACAAAGTGCTTCAACCACTAAAAGCAGCAGAGAATCATTCAGTGCACAAAGGAAAGCCAAACAGAAACTGGCTTTCTGTGGATCATCCTCGGTCCAATCAGACTGGATGATTCGATTGAATCGTCGCTATAACGTAACCTGAGATGACGTGATGTGAATTGGAGTTATAGAAATAAACAGAATAGAACAGAGCTGCTGTTCTTCAGCCCGACTCGCGCTGAGATCAGGGAGCAGACTTTCATGGTGATCCGATGAGAACAAACAGCAGGTTCAGAAACCAGGGGCTGAATTTATCAAACTTCTCAGAATTAGTCCTGCTCACTCTAGAGTCAACAAAAAAATCAGTTAATAGATCCTCAGTGTGATTCACTGCAAAAAACATCTTCAAATTTACAAGGTAACATTTTTTTTATGAATTGTATTTACCCTTAATTTGAGTTGGTAAAGAAGATGATTTGCCAATGGAAAGTAATTTTAATCTTAAAATAAGATAAATAGATAATATGCACCTGAAATAAGACATTGCAATAGTTTTTTTTTTCTTACTTCAAATCTAAACCATTTTGTTTCTAAATCCAAGAAAAAATGCACACAAAAAATGACTTTAGCTTAAAAAGTTTGCAGTGCTCAGACAGACAGAACCAGCTGTGAACGGACTTAAGATGATGTCAATAAATCCTTTGAATTTGCCAATCACTGAATTGATCTGATTATTGATGGCTCTGATGGCCCAGCATCATCTCCAGAATTATGTAACCAAAATATTGCCATAAAATCTGGCAAATTAAAACTTTCTTATTCTGTTATGAGAAGGTTCTTTCAGGCATGTTGATTCACGGCACCAAAATGCACAGAAAATACGTTTCCGCATTTGCGCAGCGGGGGGAACGGACATGTCGATCCTCTTAATTATGAGCCTCATATCTGAGCATGAACTGTTGAATCGTCCATATCGGGGCTGTTTGGAGATGCTGTGAGTCCATGAATTAGCACCAAATAGCCACCTGTCTTTATGCCTTTTCCATGCATTTTTAAAACACAACTTGCTTCATCTTATGTCGACTATTAATGCAAGGCCACAGCATAATCTAGTGGCCAGCAGTTATTTTTATCCTAAGGGATGTTATCAGATGTTATTCAGGGAAGAACTGGGATGCTAAAACGTCTTCAGCTCCCTGAACGTCCATTATCGTCTCTCTGGCCACAATACCACCCTCTAGTGGCCGCTTCTACCCCCTACAGACTCCTCTGGAGGTCTGAAATATCTGCAGGAGTAGGGGTGGTTCTTAGACATCAGAAAGTTGATAAATAGCTTTTAATCTTAAGGCTGGGAGTCTAAGGAGTAATGGTAAAAAAAAAACAATCTGAGAAGTTTGGTAAATACGGCCCAGAGATGGAGAACCAAGCCCAGTAAGAAAGTTCCGTCTGCTTTGGGCTGGTGGTCACCACCATTGGACCCGTCTGCCTGCTGGAGCTCTGATGCTGCTGTGGGGAACCTGAGGGACTTTACATGATGGAGATGTGTTCAGGTCTCATAAGATGTTAGAACCTGCAGTGCGCTGATCACAACAGCAACAGACCGATCGGGTTTCTCTGGTACTTCCCTGCAATGGGATGAAGATCTGGAAATGCTTGGCTTTAGGCTCAGGATTCAGATTCTGGTGGAACTGCAGCCCAATTCCAGCTTAAGTGATCATTTTCTAATCAAAGCTCACATTCAGGATGAAAGTTACATCACCTCCTTGGCTGTGAAGCTAGCCCCAAACTATTGGAACCCCTGACAGGTTTAGCTCATCCTAAACTGACTATTTAATAAATAATCATCAGTGCAACACAAAATCCACTAAAAGCTCATGGAAACTCCTGGTGGTTTTACACGGCACCTACATGGGCGATGACCCCCATAGAGCCCCCACCCGCTCACAGAGTCACAGAAACTGGAGGAGCCTGGCTCCTAGTCGGTGAAGCCGTTCTGGAGATTCCTCTCATAGTTCTCCAGACAGATGTGGACCCGCCCAGTGAAGTAGCTTTGGTCTGAAATGGCCTGCAGGAGGTTCGTCCGGACCAAAGAGATGTCGTACAGCTCGGAGGTGCACGCAGGGCGAGTGTCGGAGCCGCCTGGCTCCAGGAAGACCTGGTAATGTGGAAACAATGAGGAGGAACATGAGTGAGGACCAAAGAGCCAGGATTAAACATTTTAACTGATCTTAGGGCATTTCCAACCTTTCAGACAGACATGTTTCTTTTGTGGGTTTAAAGCTGAAGAAGGTTGTTCATATTGTTAATACCGTAATATATCAATAAAGTTTGACTAACTTATCTGACTGTTGTATTGACATTCTCTTTAGTGCAGCTTCATCTAGTGGATTCAGACCTCAACCCCAGCCACTACTGTAGATTGTATTTTATGCACCTTATAGTATCTTTGACGCAACCGACCCAGGTTCGAATCCGGCCTCTGCTCCTTTGCAGGATGTCTCTCCCCCTCTCTCATACCCCCTTTCCTGTCAGCTTACTGTCAGAAAAACCGAGCCTAATAATAATTTAAAAAATAAAATACGCAATTCATTGAAGGTGTGCCTTATAATCCTGTGCGCCATGTAGTACAGAAAATATGATAATAACCTAAATGCAGCCTTTAATGCAATCTTAGACTCGATCTGCTTTGTCCAAAATGTGAATAGTCCCACACATTCTCATCTTCATACTTTGGATCTTGTGCCAACATATGGCATTGAATGTGAAGGAATAACAGTATTTCCTCACAACGCTGCCCTCTCTGCAGATTATCATCAGATAATGCAATTATACATTTTAAAGAATCAGACCACTGTCCTCGTTATTTCTAAACATTACTGCAAAGGGCAACCATTTAATGTATTCCCCTTCAAGAAGTGAAGCAAAAGCAGCACATTTCTCTTCATTATAAGCGAAAAAAATAATAATTCTAGATGTTTTTTTTATAAAGTTGATAAACCCAACAACAGCTCTGTTTAACAGTCCATCCCCCCTGCCTGCTATTAGCAGTAATGATTTTATGGGATTCTTTATAAATATGATTGCTTCTATTAAAATAAGATCATTTGCGCCCCTCTAAATATGATGAGTTTATCTCTGGCCGATGAATCTCCATCTGAAGTAACTACAGAATCTAAACCAGGTTTAGACTGCTTTGATCCAGTTGAACTTGCTGCATTTGTTACTTCAAGGCTGGACTATTGTAATTCTTTACTATCAGGAAGTCCACAAACTGCAGTTAAAAGCCTTCAGCTGATCCAAAATATTGCAGCCAGAGTTCTGATGAAAATGAAAAACAGAGATCATATCTCTCCTTTCTTACCTTCTCTCCACTGGCTTCCTGTTAAATCCAGAATAGAATTTTAAAATCCTCCTCCTATCATATAAAGCCCTGAATAACTAAGCTCCGTCTGATAGCAGAGATCTGATCGTTCCTTATGTTCCCAACAGTTGTTAAAGCATCAATAAAATATTTAAAGCAATCAGAGTGAAAGTTTTACAACTTGTAACCTTTACTAAAGAGCTGTGGAATGGCTCACTCTGTCGATAAGAGGAATGTGATGGTGTAGAAACATTTAAATATTGTGTGGACTTTGATAAGAATGTGAGTATCTCATTAGCCATTTTAGTTATTTAAACGTTCCTCATTTATGGTACTTACTATTGGGGATGACGTCGACCTATGAATAATATTTTATATAAACTGATATTAAATGTCTAAGACGATCTGGCTTCAGCTCTCCTCCTGTCGCTGTTTACCCCATTACCCCAGAGTTAAACCCCTCTTTTAATAAATCTAAGTGTCCTACCGAATTTGAAGGTTACGAGCCTGTGATTCACTGAAAACTTTCAAAGTTGCTGTTTTAGGGTGCTTGGAAACACTTGATAAGAAATATCCATAACCCCTGGGTTATGCTTGCTGCTAATTTTAACATCAGAACCAACACAATTGCTTCAATATTTGGGAAAATTCCTATATTTTCATTTGAATCAGCAGCCTGCCAGTCTGACTTGTAATTAAGCCTGATTTAGGTTTGACATAATTCCCTAAACTCCATCTGTGTAACACTATGAATTTATTTTCTGAATGTAAATGTGCTATTGTGTAATACCAGCCAAGGATGAAAGGCACACATTGATCCACCAAGGCTCAGAGGAGGCAGACTGCTGTATTCTCTGGTAATCAGCTGCTCATGTTAGAGCGAATACAGCAGATGTGACCATGACCCAGGAATCCTCCGCCTGTCCCTACTAGCAACAAATGCTGTCGGCCTGGACTGTTCAGTCCATAGATAGGAGTAGGGAAAAAGTCCCTCTACATCCTCACCATAAACAATATGTTTGGATCTATGAGCTCAGAAACGAAGCTTGATGAAAACTGTCAGCATTGGATTTACCTGATGAACATTTTCATCCAACTATCAATCAAGAACAAATATAAACGTGAAAATCAAGTCAACAAGCAGAGCTAATATTTATCTTAAAGGAATAGTACACCCAAAACATGATTAGCCTTCATTTTCTACTCACCCCCATGCTGAACAACACTCTGGAGTACTTCTTTGATATCTCAAATGCATCTGGAGATCTGGGAGGCTTCTTGCTGTCTGCTGACATTCAAATAATGGAGGTCTACGGCGCCCGAGTCAGAAAGGTCCATAAAAGTCCACAAAAAACGTGTCAATATTCCTCCATACTGCTCGTCCAATGTATTCCAAGTGTCCTGAGTGGGTAGCATCCAGAATTTACTCAAAACGAAGTCATTTAGAATGTTTTTAGAGCATAAACAGTAGTGTATAGGATTTCCTAAAAGCGCGCGCCTGCGAACTCATGCTCTTCCTCAACACTGAAGTCCTCAGACATTTTTCTTTCGTTGTTTCTTTCTTTGCACAGGTAAACAGCACATTTCTTCTTCTAGCTTGCATTATCGGCAGAGCAGACGCTGAATGCGCACTTTCATCTGGTTTGGTCTGCCGGCTTCCGTAGCGTCGTGAACGCGCTTTCAGGAAATCCTATACACTACTGTTTATGCTCTAAAAACATTCTAAATGACTTCGTTTCGAGTAAATTCTGGATGCTACCCACTCAGGACACTTGGAATACATTGGACGAGCAGTATGGAGGAATATTGACACGTTTTTTGTGGACTTTTATGGACCTTTCTGACTCGGGCGCCGTAGACCTCCATTATTTGAATGTCAGCAGACAGCAAGAAGCCTCCCAGATCTCCAGATGCATTTGAGATATCAAAAAAGTACTCCGGAGTGTTGTTCAGCATGGGGGTGAGTAGAAAATGAAGGCTAATCATGTTTTAGGTGTACTATTCCTTTAAGGACTTTATGGGGAAAGATCCATTCTACATCCAGCTGAAATGGCTCCACGGTGGTCCAAATTTACTCACTCTTATTTATTATTTAGTTATTCCAGAGCTATGAAATTGTATCCATAGGCTCAGACTAAATAAGATCTCTCTGGGAGAAAAGTGATTATCACAGCCTCAGGCAGCAATCACAGGGCTTTGGAAAAAGCCTGAAGGATCCAAAGGGAGGAAGAACCTAAGCATTTGAACGAGTTATGGGGGCGGGTTGAAAGAAAACAGAGGCTCTGGGCCCAGATTTCTGACTGTTTAATATGAAATATAATATTGAGCATCAGAGAGATAGGTGCAAAACATGCCAGCCCGTTTATTCTGTTGTGGGGATTTTGGGTTTGATTTTTCCAGCTTCATATCTGAATTAGTGTTCAATACTAAAAAGGTTGTCATAGTGGGGGATTTTAACATCCATGCTGACTTTGAAGGGGATGACTTAAATGCAGCCTTTAATGCTATTTCAGATGCTATTGGCTTCATTCAAAATGTAAGTAGTCCAACACATTTTCATCTTCACAGTTTGGACCTTTTGCTGATATATTGCATTGAATGTGAGGAAATACTGTTATTTCTTCACAACTCTGTCCTCTCTGACCACTTTTTTAACGAAAATGCTAGAAAACTGGAGAGAAAATGGCACCCTACGTTAAGGTGGGGGGATTGGACAAATCTATCACTCGATGATAGACTCAGCCATTCAACATTCAAAAGTGATTTTCCTTTCTTTTTTGGACCTATGGGTTATGACCATGAAAACCGAACTTTTTTTGCCCAATGCTACTGTGCAGCAGTGATTTATCTACTTAAACTTGAGACAGAAAGAAAGAACTGATATGTTAAAGATAGGCTCTGTGTATGGACCTTGATGCTCCATTTCTTTCTGTATATCATGAGGTTCTATTGTGGCTTCATTAAACAAATAAACTTGAACTAGTTTATTTACAGTTTTGTGAACTTGTTTTTCTTTTTGTTTTCAGTGGCTCGTGTTTTGTACAGCCTAAAAGGAAAGGGGGTATGAGAGACATGCGGCAAAGGACCACAGGCTGAATTCGAACCTGCGTCGGCCGTGTCGAGGACTCAGGCCTCCATAACCACTGCTCCACCTGCACGCCCCGCTCGTTGTTTTTTTAACTATAAACTGGCACATTGTCCACTTGTATTTTAGATCCAGTTCCAACCAGGTTATTTAAGGAGGTATTCCCTTTGAGGTATTCCCATTTTAGATGTGATTAATGTATCTCTGTTACAGGGATATGTACCAAAGGCTTTTAAGGTTGCTGCAATTAAACCTTTCCTTAAGAAGCCATCTCTTGACCCAGATGACTTGGTCAATTATAGACCTATGTCTAATCTTCCTTTCTTAAGCCAGGCGTACACTGTACCATTTATTTTGCCCTTTTTGTGCCGATTCTCTAGTTGTGAGAGAATTTTTTGTTCAGGCTGACTTCAGCCTGAGGGCGCTTGGTTTAGCAAGGCTCGATGTTAACCATCGCCCGATCTCCCGGGGCAAGTAGTTTTTATTGTCGGGAGAGTACAAATTTCATTGCATTTGCCCGCCGGGCAAAAAAAAAAATGTATCATTCAAAAACACTTTTAAATCACAGACATTCGCTGAAAACAACTCACAAGCGTAGCCGGCGCCATTTTTGTTGTTTTGTACACATTCTCGCGTGATTTGAAAAAGTCGGGTGATTTTCCGCCAGATAGTGTGATTTTTGTCCACCTAGCGGTAATTTTGATGTAGTTACCAAAACGACAAACCAGCTAGAAAGTGCTATCATATGGCAGCCTTCTGTACAGGGGTCATACATTGAAAAATGTTCATTCATTTTTTTCTTGTAGACATTGGAGAGGTGCATTTAAATGTTATAGAGCTAAACATGTTAGATTGGTGACCTGTTATGTTATTATTATTGTCTTGTTGCTGTATTTATTTTGTCAGGGAAAATTAATCCTGAGTCAGTTAAAAGTCAGGGAATTCTGAAATGATGTCAGACTGTGGAAACCCTGAATAAAATAACTATAATTATTCTCTAGAAAAGTCACATTATATTAATAGTATTATCTTGTATAAACATACCGTGATTCTAAAATAAAAGTTATTCATTTGTGACATTGACTTCTGTCTTGTGATTTATCTTAAGTTTTTAACCAGTCAAGTTTTTTTTAGATTTTTAACATTACAATTTATATTTTTCCAAGCACACAACAGTTTAAAGCAATGTTTAGTTTGAAAAGAATGTGCAGGAAGGATTGAAAAGCATGTTAACACGGTAATGTAGGCTTGAGTTCATTATCTGACGCATGCAGATACACACCAGGAACCTGGAAACTTACTGAATTACAAAAAACATTTAAAAAACAAACATGTTTCATTGATATATATACAAAAATGAATATTAGGAACTATATTTATCAAACATTATACTGGGCAAGTAAAAATTGTTTCTGGGCAAATGAAATGTGAAAGTCACTTGCCCGTAACCTGACTCCACCAGATGGATTTGCTCCGCATATCCATCTGGAAACCTTCCGTTGAAGTAATTTTGGGAAGGGGCGAAAATACTGGTTAGCTGATTGGCCTATGTTGGTGATAGACGGGCCAAATAAACCATCAGATCAACGAAGCATATGACGTACTAACAGAGCGACGACGAAGAGGAGCCAATTGATAGATCAAACTCTTGCTGAAACCAGTCGGGAGAAGAGCAAAAACATCTTTTCCTCTGAGAAAAGCCTCCAGAGCAGTGTTTTGCTCTTCTTTCAGTGAAGAAATACTCTGTAATTCAGATAAAACTTGCTCGATAGCCACGCTAACGCTAGTTTCATCGGCTGAAGCCGCCATGTTCTTTAGACTGCACTGTCGCGCTTCTCGTTGCGTCACACTTCAACCCGCCTCAAAGCCAACGCTGATTGGACGTTCGTTTGGTGAACGGCTCCAAATTTTCTTCAACGGAGAGTCTCCAGACTGATCTGCGAGTGAAACCTTGAAAGCTCGCGAGATCAGGATGGTCTCACGAGGCTAACTTGGTAAACATCCTTAACGTCAACCCCTGTGTAGTGAACAGGAGGTAACGCGGGGCGATCAGCCTTTAACGACCACCTCCCCATCAGGAATCATAAGGTCGGGAGAAAATCAAACATGTTTGAAATTCAGGCGGCCGTCGTGAGGTGGTCATGGGCAAATCGCTCGGTGCGCAAACAAGGAATCGTCTTCCTCTCAGATGAAACCCAGCAGCATGGCGGTACAATGAGTGAAATGGAGTTTTTTCTGTAAAATTAACAGACCGTAGTAGCCACGTTTGCTCAGCCATGTCTGTTTCCAAATACGTTGTCGCCTTTTCTTTTTAGGGCTTTCAGCACAAAATTGTACAAATAGCCAAGGCAGCGCGTTTCACTCTAGTGAGCTTCATATTCCTCTTCTACTCGTTTGGCTTTTGGATAGACGAGTCCGAGTAGCGCCATCTCACTGCGAAGCTGAGGTTTTTAGATGTACAGTGTGAGCAGGGAGGTCGCATCAGAGCGTCGTCACACAGTGTGAGAACGTACATCGTGAGCTGTGAACTTTTAACCCTGTGGTTTTGTCGTACAGTGTGAGCTGTAGCTGCGTGCAACGATTGAAATAATGGTACAGTGTACGAGCGGCTTTATCTAAAATTCTTGAAAGGTAGTTTCTAAACAAGTGTGCGATCACTTCCACCATAATGAACTTTTTGAAGAGTTTCAGTCTGGCTTTAGAGCTCATCATAGCACTGAAACAGCTCTGGTGAAAGTTGCTAAGATGCTCTCATAGCTTCAGATAATTGACTTGTATCTGTACTTCTGTTAGATCTCAGTGCTGCATTTGATCCAGTTGATCATAATATCCTTTTGAAAAGACTTGAGGATGTTCATGGAATCGATTGTTCCTCATGTTGCTAGATAGACAACCGAATAGATGGATGGCTATAAATATCTGAGAATGTTTAACTTAAACTGACTGTATAGTCTTGTTTTAGTATTATTTTGTATTACAGCAGTAGATAACCGCTGTGCTTGAAGGTTTCCTAATTGGAAGAGGCTGCTTCACCTTGGGACTGACTATGGTGTCCTCATCATTCTGTCGGATGTTGTCGTCTATGAAGATGTGCTGAACATGCTGGTCAAAGGGGTCAATCCACAGCGGTTTCCCTCCTCGTATGGAGAAGGTGTTGCTAGCCCACCTGGATGCAGAAACCAGGATAAACAATCATTAAAAAGAGAAGAAGAGGAGAAGAGTGGTGCTGTGTTTGTGCTGCAGCATCTAAATGGGTACCAGTCAAAGTGGTCCTGGAACCCCCCCAGACCCTGCACCGAGCTCAGGTACTGGTAGAGTCCTCTCTCCCCATTGCTGGTGGACAGGCGGTCCTCGGCGCGGCTCAGGACGATCCCTCTTCTGCTGCAGCGGATCTTTCCTGGGGTCATGTCCACGCTGAGCTGAGGCACAGGAGAACAAAGGAGCAGAGGTCAAAGAGAAGGCTCTGGGATGGACGGCGTTAGGAGCTCTGCAGCTAAAGCGCTGAAAAAAAGACACTAAGAAAGAAAAACAGGTGAAGTCTAGAAACCCATGAAAGGTTGATTTATTTCCATCCCGTTTTCTCAGTCTCTCAACCCACAGCTGAACCGCAGGTTAGATTTTCCAGTGCTCTGTGCTTTGGACATGCTTCCTACTTCACACCATCTGTTCAGATGGTTTTCATTTTTTTTTCTTTCTTTTTTTTAACAGTGGCAATAAGAATAATCGTCTTGATGCCAAAAAGAGTCCATCAGATTTTATTTGATCAAGTGGAGCAGTACGGCTATCGCCATAGTGTTCTGCTTGGTTTATGCATGTAAATGGCTTTATTATAATCCTTGGGGGGCCTTGGCAAAAACCGTGGCAGGTGCAGTGCATGGACGCCCGCGGCGTTCCGTGTTCCGTGGGACCTCGGTGTAAGGAGAAGATCTGACAGCTGCACATGTGGGACCTTCATAGACCTCCTCCAAGGTTTATTCTGTCAACTCACTGCACGGCCTCATGGGGAAAACTTCTGCATTTTTCACTGATGGACCTGTTTTTTCGGGGGTTGAATTGGCAGGATGTAGGGATGGGAATCGAAAACCGGTTCCTGTTAAGAACCGGTTCTGTATTTTCCGATTCCATGGCATCGTTTGGCAGCTCACTGAACGATTCTTTTTTCGATTCCCGCAGCACCAGAGCCTAGAGCGCCGGCTCTGGGGAGCACGACTTACGTCACGTTTTTTACGTAAGTTACGCAAGTTACGCAAGTTGGAAGAACTATTCGAGGAGGAAGACAATGAGCTGCGGTCACTTTGTGAATCAGAGCCCCGTCTTTCCTTAGCCCAGAGGGTAGATCAGGAAATCCAGCTCTATAAAAGCTTGCCCTCCATCCCCTGCAGGGATAGCGCCACACTGTGGTGGTGGAACAAGCAAGATACGCTGCCCTTGCTATCTGACTGGCTGAAAACTACCTCTGTGTGCAGGCTTCCTCCACCTCATCTGAGAGGGTGTTCTCCACAGCTGGAGACACCATAAGCCCTGAAAGATCCCGTATCCTTCCAGAAAAAGCAGATATGCTCATCTTTCTGCAAAATAACTGTTAATTTTCCCTACTACTGTTTTATAATTAGTATTTTTTGTTATTTAAAATAGGTTATTATCCCATCATTTGTTATTAGACATTGTTGGTTATTAAGTTTGTTCTTGTATATTTATTTTTCATTTAAACACAGATGTTACTCCAGTTTCACATTTCCTGTGGACATCTTGATCTTGTTGAGTTTGTAAGATTGTGCAATAGTTAAGTAAACAAAGTTGATGCTGATAATCAAACTGTTTGTTCTCCTTTTTCCCCCAAATTGGAATCGAAAAAAGAATCGATAAAGAATCGAATCATTTCATAGAATCGAAAAGGGAATCGGAATCGTGAAAATCTTTTCAATTCCCAACCCTAGCAGGATGTGCCATCAAACACATATGTTACTAATAGTTTAGTCATGTGGACGAAGGGTGAGCAGGTTTCTGCAAGACAACATGCAGGGCCTCAAGTCAGCTCCACTCCTGCTTACCTTGAGCTCAGGCAGATCAGGGAACAGTGGATGAAGCCCCTCCTTCAGCGCTCGACTCATAGCCCTCAGCACGCGAGGCAGGTCCGATCCGAACGTGCGGAAAACAATGGCGAACTCTCGTCCTTCCTGCGCCAGGTCTCTGATGAGCTGGAAGAAGGAAGGGAGGATCCAGTGGTAAAGCCGCCCATCCTCCCCTCTGACCGACAGCTGTGGGTCTTTCTGTAGAACACAAAGACAGGAAACGATGACAACAAGATAAATCTGAGCCACAATCAGACATCATCTTTCCCTCAGAGCAACACGCAGGTCTCTGCACCACGTCACACTTACCTTGGCGCCCTCAGGCCAGCGGAGCAGCTCTAGATGTTCCTCCAAAAGTCCTCGGAAGCGTCGCCCAGCAACAGAGGTGAAGCACGGCGAGCGTCCGAACTGAGAGTAGTAGCTGGCAGCGCCGCTGCAGGGAGGAAACATGGAGGCGGAGTCACTCAACCATTCCCACTTTCCTGCCGCAGAGAAAAACCAGAGGAAGAAATCAGCCAGGAGAGCAGGAGGGTCAATGAATGATGAGATTATCATTTTTAGATGTTGGTAAAACACCCATGGCTGCTCAGAGATGAAAAAAACTTCTGTAAATTAAAGGATTATTTTGATAATCGGCTAATCTGTTGATTATTTTTTCGATTAATCGATAAGTAATCAGATAGCCAAAGGTTCCTTAAAGATTTTATACAGAATTAAACAAAGTGAAACAAAATCTTTTTGACTTGAGGACTTCTGAATAGAGCAGTTTGACAGGAGAAAAGTTTTTTTTCTTTAATCTTAAATGCCAAATTCCCAAAAAGTTTAAAACAATCCACTGGACTTTGTTTCCAAGTTTGAAGTCGTTTCTCTTCCATCCATCAAGCTTTTTCAATCCAAAATGTCAGAAATAGTGTCGAGTTGCAGGTTTTATACAGCAGCCCAACAAAGCCTGGTTTCTGTTTAGAAAACATGCAAATAGAAACGGATGAACGGGTCCCCCCCATTGGAACGAGGGTCGTTTGGTTGTTTCTTTTGTTAGCCTGCAATGCTCCATGGCGCTAGGCTTACCGCACCGTGACGTCAATGCCAAAGATGTCAAGAGGGAGGAGTTACTATATTTGGGCACATATATATATATATATATATATATATACACATTTATTAGGGGTGGAACGGTTCACAAAATCCACGGTTCGGTTCGGTTCATGTTGATTGTTACACCGAAATCCCATAAAAATTTATGAAATTAATGAAAAAATCCAAAAATATTAATGAATTCTAATTATTTTGAATGATTCACGGAAACTCTGGATCATTTCCGCATGTTTTGCTGCTTTGAATTTAATCATCTGGCGCATGCTCTCTACCATCTCCTAGGGACTCAGAGCGGAGCGGACGGGAGCCACAGTGGAGGCTGTAGGCTTTGCTTTGTACAGGCGGTCTGGAGCGCAGCGGGGCGGAGCGCTGACGGAGTATGAGGGATTTCGGGGTTAGCATGACATGTTGGTCATGTTGCTGTTAGCATAAACAAAACGTGTTGCACAATGCTTGCACACTGTTGCACTTTTATCCACAGCTTTCTTCCTGCCGTCATCGTAGGTCACTCTAAATGCAAAGTGGTCCCATACAGCAGACCTATAAAGTGCTGCTGGCGCGTCTTCCAACTCCTGTTCTTTCCCACTCGCCATACCCACACAATTCTCCACAACAACTGATTTTTTTCTGCTACACCCGGCTACGCTGCTTTGCTTCTTCTTCTTCTTGTTTACTACTGGTGGTTGGCTTTGGTCGCAGTACCGCCACCTTCTGCTCTGGAGTGTAAACGCTTCGCCTATGAGAAAAAGGAGCAGCGCATGAACCGAACGAAACACACGCGAACCGAACCGAGACAGTCGAACGGAACGATTCTGACGGTTTTCATAAATCGTCCCATCCCTAGTCCAGATATGACATTCTTTGACCGAAGCTCCGGCAGGTGCTGGCGGTTGTAGATGCAGGATCGATGTCTAACGTCTAAGCCTCTGGAGCTGTATCAAGCCGCTGCCTCGAGGCGCAGCCATCTTGGATTTTATTCATTCGGTTTTCATAAACCATTCCATCCCTAATAAATATATATATATATATATATATATATATTTATATATATATATATATATATATATATATATATATATATATATATATATATATTATATATATTTCCAGCTACTTTTTTCCCCTTTTTTTCCCTTAACCGCAACTAAGAACACAAAATTGAAGGAGCTAAAGCAGTTTATAAAAATATAAAATAAATAACATGCTGTTTTCAGTACTAAGAACAAATAAGCAAAATCACAATTGCGTTACCTGAGCAGTTAACTAATTACATAGTAATACTACTCACCATAGTCATGATACATTCCAAATAAATAGTGATAGTTTACACAATATCAGCAATAGTAGAGAAATCTCCAACATTGGTGACGGACAAATACCAGCAACGGGAAGAAGAACTCCAAGCACACATCATACACTAACATACATCTGAATATACTGTGACCAGATCAACTGTTTGAAAAGGATTTTAAAGCTGTGAATATTTTTTAATTGTTTATGTTGTGAACTTAAGCTGTTCCAGAGTTTCAATCCAAATACAAATATATAAAAACTTTTCCGAGTTCTTCTAACTCCGGGTAATGGGAACTCATCATAGCCTCTCAGATTATCAATCGTCTCTCAAAATTCAAATTTGTTTTGTAGATTTTCAGGCAGCGTTTTTTTTTAAATGCTTTGTATAAAATAATAGAAGTATAATACAGGTCCTTCTAAAATATTAGCATATGGTGATAAAGTTCATTATTTTCCATAATGCAGGCATCCCCAACCTGGGTCCTCGAGGCCCGCTGTCCTGCAGGTTTCAGAGGTTTCCCTGCTTTAGCACAGCTGATTATAGTGTTTGCAGTAGACCAAAAGCCTGTTAATCAGCTTTCAATTAAAATCAGCTGTGCTGGAGCAATCAAACCTCTAAAACCTCCAGGACAGCGGACTGAGGTTGGGGATGCCTGCCATAAGGTAATGATAAAACTTGAACATTCATATATTTTAGATTCATTGCACACTAACTGACATATTTCAGGTCTTTTATTGTCTTCATACGGATGATTTCGGCATACAGCTCATGAAAACCCAAAATTCCTCTCTCGCAAAATTAGCAGATTTCATCCGACCAATAAAAGCAAAGTGTTCTTAATACAAAAAAAAGTTAACCTTCAAATAATTCTGTACGGTTATTTACTCAATACTTTGTGGGGAATCCTTTAGCAGAAATGACTGCTTCAATGCGGCGTGGCATTGGGGCAATCAGCCTGTGGCTCTGCTGAGGTGTCATGGAGGCCCAGGATGCTTCCATAGGGGCCTTTAGCTCATCCACAGTGTTTGGTCTTGCGTCTCTTAAAGCTACAGTGTGTAATTTTCAGCGACATCAAACGTCCAGACTGCAGACCGCAGCAATATGAACGTCTCCCCCCCACCGCTTCTCCCCCCCAACAGTAAGGCGAGCGTTACGGGACAAAATGTCTTCCACGACGTCCGCATCACCTACCTTCTCAAGTGATGAGGTTTGTTTACATAGATAATTTTACAGATAGTATTTCATTAGTCTGTGTAGGGTATAGATTTCATGTAGACTTAAGATAATAAATATACCCGTTATTTTTTCTACGTCGTTGTGACGTTTTGGTGAGCTGCTTTGCATGGTGATATAAACAGACGAAGTAATTGTAGTCATTAGTTTTACAGCGAGATTGTGTTCGCTGGAAGAATATATATTCCCCGTTTACAGAGTCCAAGTCTTGTTTGTGGCACGGGGGTTACAAGGCGAGGAAGAGGGAGAGGGCGAGGGCATGCAGCTAGGGCCAGGCGAGGGAGGGGTGCCAGCGGGGTGAGAGCAGAGGAGGAAAGGCTTGAAGATCTCCAAAGGAGCTGGAGAGAAGTAACCGAGGTATATATCCAGAAAATTATTTTACAGAAAATTACTGAATCATTACCTGTGAAACGTCAGGGACGTTGCTGAATAAGTATACTGGAGAGTAACAGCATCATCACGCAGCATGTTATTGTTTTAGACAGGTCTGAGCATCCTGTACTCCAAAAACTGCAGTGATATTAGACAATTGTGTGTGTAGGATTAATTACCTGTCCAAGAGAAAACTGGCAACTTGAGCGTCACTTTGAAAACCTTTTTCCTCCATCAGTGACTTCCATCGTGTAAATGCCGTGCCAATGTTGATCCGTGTTTTTTGTCGTTTCTTGTCACGCTTGCGTTTATTCTCGTCGTGTTTCCGCTTCTTAGATGAGGGGGGTTCGGTGTCCGCCGCTTTTCGTTGTGATACAGAGTAGGCATGATCCTCCATTCGTCTGATGTTTGGCCACACAGTGCCAAACAGTTTGCAAAGTCACTCACGCCTGCCGCCTTGTTCACCTTTCTTGTTACTGAGGCGCAGTATACCTGCTTCTTCTTCTTCTTTGGTTTCAGGCAGACTAAACGCTTCTCAGGCATAATACTGCCATCTATTGTTCAGTACCGTCTCAGTTAATCTCTCTCAACTTGCCGTAGTTATTTTCGAGCGTCATGGGAGATCTCGCAATCGCTAGTTTGTTGCCTCTGCGCTTGCCGTAGCGCAAAGATGTCTGCCTCCATGGCTGCGAGACCCGCTCCTATGTAATTATAAATAACGAATTCTAAGGCAAAGCAAATATTATGGTTAAAAGGCTGAGCTCATAGGTGATGATAAAAAACATAGTTATGTATAATATATTAAATTTCTGACTTTATATCCCTGTAATTATTACACACTGTAGCTTTAACTTTCTCTTCACAGTATCCCACAGATTCTCTATGGGGTTCAGGATAGGAGAGCTGGCAGGCCAATTGAGCCCAGTGGTCAGTAAACTATTTACCAGTGGTTTTGGCACTGTGGGCGGGTGGCAGGTCATGCTGAAAAATTAAATCTTCATCTCCATAAAGCTTTTCAGCAGATGGAAGCATGAAGTGCTCCATAATCTCCTGATAGCTGCATTGACCTTGCCCTTGATAAAACCCAGTGGACCAACACCAGCAGCTGACATGGCGCCCCAGACCATCACTGACTGTGGCTACTTGACACTGGACTTCTGGCATTTTGGCATTTCCTTCTCCCCAGTCTTCCTCCAGACTCTGGCACCTTGATTTCCAAATGACGTGTAAAACTGAGCAACAGTCCAGAGCTGCTTCTCTGTAGCCCAGGTCAGGCGCCTCTGCTGCTGTTTCTGGTTCTAAAGTGGCTGACCTGGGGAATGCGGCACCTGTAGCCCATTTCCTGGGCTACGGTGCACAGTGGCTCTGGATGTTTCTACTCCAGACTCAGTCCACTGCTTCCGCAGGTCCCCCAAGGTCTGGAATCGGCCCTTCTCCACAATCTTCCTCAGGGTCCGGTCACCTCTTCTCGCTGTGCAGCGTTTTCTGCCACTTTTTCCTTCCCACTGAGGTGCATCGATACAGCAGCACTCTGGGAACAGTCTATTGGTTCAGAAATATCTTTCTGTGTCATTACTCTGGCTTGAGGGGGTCAATGATGGCCTTCTGGACAGCAGGCAGGTCGGCAGTCTGACCCATGATTGGGGTTCTGAGTGATGAACCAGGCTGGGAGTTTTAAAGGCCTCAGGAATCTTTTGCAGGTGTTTAGAGTTAATTTGTTGATTCAGATGATTAGGTGCATAGCTCCTTTAGAGACCTCGATCATGATATGCTAATTTTGTGAGATAGGAATCTTGGGGTTTCATGAGCTGTATGCCAAAATCATCAAAAATCATCCGACAAAAAAAGACCTCAAATATTTCAGTTAGTGTGCAATGAATCTAAAATATATGAATTCTCAAGTTTTATCATCACATTATAGAAACTATTCAACTTTATCACAATAAGCTAATATTTTGAGAGGGACCTGTATTTGACAAAATCTCCAAATATGAGCAACTTTGACTGTGATGTGAGTATGAATCTAATGCCCACCTTAGTGAATGATGCCCTTTACTGGCTTCTCTACTGTAACTAAAGGATTAGTTGTGTTTTGGTAGGTGTTTCCCACACTTCCACACGATATGTGAGATATGGAGGAATCAAGGTAGACGAGGACGAAGATAATCCACATCTAGGTTTGATTTTATTCAGCTTTTTTGTTTTTTGATTGTCTGATGTGACGCTTCAATGACAATTTATTATCAATTATAACTCCCAAAAATTTGTTTTCACTCACATTTACAATTTAATTAGTACACCTTCAATAATAATTGGTAATCCCTAATTAATCTTAACATGAGCCTAAAACATTACTTTAGTATTTAGTGTGGGAGCCCCACCTGTGGTGACCCATTTTAACAGATGGAACCTGTCAGTTGTACCTGTACGATGGAGTATTAGGGCTTCAGATTGGTTTTATTTTTTTATTTTGAGAATAAAGTCATAACATTACTAGAATAAAGTTGTAATAATATTAGAACGAGAGTGGAGGATGGGGGGGTTCTTACCGCTTTCGCTCATCCGCCCCCATGTGACGGTGGTGAGGAAGTAATCCAGGGCGGCTACGGTCCCCTGTCCGGTCACCGAGTCCGACACCAGGATGGTGTTGTTCAGGTCCATGTGAAGGATTAACTTCTTCCTCGGTGCCTGCTTCTCGGAGCCCAGTCCCGGAGGGACTGACGCCGCCGGGTCACGCGCTGCTGGCGGCCGCTCAGGCTCTCTGGTACCTCGGTCCTCCGTCCCTTCATGTTCGTCCGCCATGACAGCGCAGCGAGCAGGCAGGAAGTTACTAGCTGACTCGCTGCCTCATCCATGAGGTGGTTTCCAGCAGAATTACCGAGAAACCATTCCAGAAACTACCGACAGCTGACATTCACCGGTAGCTACTTCCTCATTCTTCTTCTTCTTCTTCTTCTTCTATTGAGTTTTCTGGCAGTTTGCATCCTGTGTGCATTACCGCCATCAACTGGACGGAGATGTAATTCAGAAATATAATGTCTGTATATCTTTATATCTTCATGAAACTAAATTCTATCTATACTTACACACACGCACATACACACACTAAATTCTCCCAGCTAATTCTGTATCTTTTAAATATTTAATAAGCGCTTTAATTATCTTATCTGATTGATGCTTCCCTAATAAATCTGCCATCTTTACTGAACTCCCCATTACCCTTTCCAGTTCTTTCCTCTCTTTTGTATATTTGCTACAATAGATCAACACATGTTCTACTCCTTCGATTTCTCCGCAATAACAACAATTACCCGTTGGATGTTTCCCTATTATTTTTAGACCTGCATTTAAACTAGTATGCCCAATCCTTAACCTGTTTATCCATATTTCCTCTCTTCTACTCATTATACTGTTATATCCTATGCTAATATCTTTATGTATTTTATATAAATGTCTTCCTTTTTTTTCTAAATTCCATCTCTTCTGCCATACCTTATTTATTTTATCTTTAATAATTACTTTTATTTCTGTTCTACTTAGCGGGACATCATATTCAATTTCTCCTACTTTAACTGCTTCTTTAGCTAACTTATCTACTTTTTCATTACCTAAGATTCCTCTGTGTGCTGGAACCCATGTGAATTGAATACTTATATTTTGTTGCCTTATACCATACATTAAATAACTGACTTCATCTAAAAGATCTTGACGGCTTTCAGATTTTCCACTTTTAAAACTAGTCAGGCAAGACATTGAATCTGAACAGATAACTACATTTCTAGGCTTCACCTCCAGCACCCATTGCAATGCTAAAATAATTGCCAACATCTCTGCTGAAAAAATTGATAAATTATCTGTTGTTCTTCTCTTGATAGAAATATTTTCTTTTGGAATATATACTGCTACTCCTGTTTTACCATTTTCCTCTTTTGATGCATCTGTATATATTTGTGTCATATTTTCATACCTTACTTCTAAATGCTGCTGAATAATTTGATACAAACCTCCACAAGACTCTTCTATTTTTTTAGTTTCTAAATTTACTATTGGCATTTCGAAAAACCATGGAGCAATTTTAGATGTACTTACAGTTTTACAGTATGTTATATTACTTATCCCAGAATACTCTGCATAAATATTTCCTTCCCATCCAAAACTCCCTATATTATGGCCATATTCCCAACATTCTCTGAATATCTGTTTAGTAGGGTGATTTTCCTCATGCCCTTGTAAATTTAACCAGTAATTTATTGACAGTTTCATCCTCCTTAAGTCCAGTGGCATTTCTCCAGTAATCACTTGAAGAGCAGGAACTGGAGATGTTCGAAAAGCACCACTACATATCCTAAGCGCTTTGGCTTGGATTCTATCTAAATCTAACAACAAAGAATTTGCAGCTGATTTATAAACAATACATCCATAGTCCAACACAGATCGAATTAAAACATCATATATTCTTTTCAAGGATGAGCTAGTTGCCCCCCAGTCATTCCCTGACAAACATTTCAATATATTAATACCTTTTTTACATTTATCAATAATCTTCTGCATATGTATCTTAAATGAAAGTTTTTCATCAAACCATACACCAAGGTACCTTATCATATTTACCTGTTTCAATTCATGCCCATATAATCTAAGATCTACTGTTGGATTATCCCTTTTCCTTGAAAAACATAATACTTGTGTCTTCTCAACAGACAAACGAAACCCCCATTCGTGTGACCATCTTTCTACCGTTTTAATTGCTGATTGCATTCTATTTTTTAAATAACTAAGATTTCCTCCTCTCACCCACAATGCCCCATCATCTGCATATAATGCTTTATTAATTCTAAAATCTATATTATCAAAAATATAATTAATCATTATATTAAAAAGCACTGGACTACATACACTACCTTGTGGAGTTCCATTTTGTATATCATAAATGTTTGAATAATTTACCCCAACTCTTACTTCTATTTTTCTATTCTTTAAAAAATCCTTAATCCAATTAAACATTTTTCCTTTGATTCCCATTTTATTCATCCTAATTAATAAACCCTCCTTCCAAAGCATATCATATGCTTTTTCAATATCAAAAAATGTAGCCAAGAGAATTTCTTTATTTACCTGAGCCTTTCTTATTTCATTTTCTAAACAAGCAATTGGATCTATTGTTGTCCGTCCACTTCTAAAACCACTCTGGTAAGGGGATAAAAGATCTCTTTTTTCTATTTCATACATTAATCTCCTAGTTATCATTCTCTCCATCAATTTACATAAATTAGAAGTAAGAGCTATAGGCCTATAACTTTTAACCTCTCCTTTATCCTTACCTGGCTTTAATATTGGTACAATGATTGAATGCTTCCAGCTTAAGGGCAATTCACCTTGTTTCCATACTTTATTGTATAACTTTAAAATTATTCCTTTAGCATCATCTGATAAATGTTCAATCATCCTATAACATATGCCATCTTTACCTGGAGATGTATTTTTAACTCCTATCAATGCTCTATTCATTTCAAACAATGTAAATTCTTTATCTAAAATACTTCCATCAATCTCTTTTCTATTTAAAATTTCTCTATTATCTTCAATCATTTCCAATCTCCATGATAATTCTTCATTTGATAAATTTTTTGAACTATGCACCTTCACAAAGGACCTTGCAAACATCTCTGCTTTTTCCTTGTTTGTTATAGCTTCACACTGATCATCTTTAATTATAGGTAAAGAAAAATCCCTTCTAATTCCTCCCATCTTTCTAATCATTCCCCAGATCTCATTTATTTTAACGTCCATTCCAATTGTACTACAAAAACTTCTCCAATAATTCTTTTTTGATAGTTTAACTGTTCTCCTAACTTTAGATTGTGCTTTTTTGTATAATATTAAATTATCAAATGAATGATTTATTTTTAACTTTTTAAATGCTTTATTCCTAACTTTAATAGCTTCTTTACATTCATTGTTCCACCAAGGAACCATTTTCTTTTTCTTCAATCCAGTAGATTTGCAAATGGCCTTTTCTGCAGATTCGTATATTATATTTGTAATCATTGAATTTAATTCTTCAATATTATTGCTTAAATTTGGCATAATCTCCATAAACATGTCACTTGCTATCTTTTTGTACATTTCCCAATTAGCTTCCCTCATTCTCCATTTAGGATACCAATTTTCTTCAACTGCTACTTTAAAATTATTCAATTTAAGCAGAATAGGATAATGATCACTTCCAAGGGAGTTATCATTCATTACTTCCCATTGACTTATTCCTGCTATCTGATCTGAGACTATAGTAAGATCAATTGCAGATTCTACTCCATGCCCTACATCAAATCTAGTACAGGTGCTGGTCATAAAATTAGAATATCATGAAAAAGTAGATTGATTTCAGTAATTCCATTTAAAAAGTGAAACTTGTATATTATATTCATACATTACATACAAACTCATATATTTCAGATGTTTATTTTGTTTAATTTTGATGATTACAAATGACAACAAATGAAAATCTCAAATTCATCATATCAGAAAATTAGAATATTGTGAAAAGGTTCAAAATTGATGGCCCCTGGTGCCACACTCTAATCAGCTAATTAACTCAAACCACCTGCAAAAGCCTTTAAATGGTCTTTCAGTCTAGTTCTATAGGCTACACAATCATGGGGAAGACTGCTGACTTGACAGTTGTCCAAAAGACGACCATCGACACCTTGCACAAGGAGGGCAAGACACAAAAGGTCATCGCTGAAGAGGCTGGCTGTTCACAGAGCTCAGTGTCCAAGCACATTAATAGAGAGGCGAAGGGAAGGAAAAGATGTGGTCGAAAAAAGTGTACAAGCAAGAGAGATAACCGCACCCTGGAGAGGATTGTGAAACAAAACCCCTTCAAAAATGTGGGGGAGATTCACAAAGAGTGGACTGCAGCTGGAGTGAGTGCTTCAAGAACCACCACACACAGACGTATGAAAGACATGGGTTTCTGCTGTCGCATTCCTTGTGTCAAGCCACTCTTGAACCACAGACAGCGTCAGAAGCGTCTTGCCTGGGCTAAAGAGAAACAGGACTGGACTGCGTGTGAGTGGTCCAAAGTCATGTTCTCTGATGAAAGTAAATTTTGCATTTCCTTTGGAAATCAAGGTCCCAGAGTCTGGAGGAAAAGAAGAGAGGCACTTCATCCACGTTGCTTGAAGTCCAGTGTAAAGTTTCCACAGTCAGTGATGGTTTGGGGTGCCATGTCATCTGCTGGTGTTGGTCCATTGTGTTTTCTGAGGTCCAGGGTCAACGCAGCCACATACCAGGAAGTTTTAGAGCACTTCATGCTTCCTGCAGCTGACCAACTTTTTGGAGATGCAGATTTCATTTTCCAACAGGACTTGGCACCTGCACACAGTGCCAAAGCTACCAGTACCTGGTTGAAGGACCATGGTATCCCTGTTCTTAATTGGCCAGCAAACTCTCCTGACCTTAACCCCATAGAAAATCTATGGGGTATTGTGAAGAAGAAGATGCAATACACCAGACCCAACAATTCAGAAGAGCTAAAAGCCACTATTAGAGCAACCTGGGCTATCATAACACCTGAGCAGTGCCACAGACTGATCGACTCCATGCCACGCCGCATTGCTGCAGTAATACAGGCCAAAGGAGGCCCAACTAAATACTGAGTGCTGTACATGCTCATACTTTTCATGTTCATACTTTTCAGTTGGCCAACATTTCTATAAATCCTTTGTTTTTATTGGTCTTCAGTAATATTCTAATTTTCTGATATGATGAATTTGAGATTTTCATTTGTTGTCATTTGTAATCATCAAAATTAAACAAAATAAACATCTGAAATATATGAGTTTGTATGTAATGTATGAATATAATATACAAGTTTCACTTTTTAAATGGAATTACTGAAATCAATCTACTTTTTCATGATATTCTAATTTTATGACCA